GGGGGGGGGGGGGGGGGGGGGGGGGGGGGGGGGGGGGGGGGGGGGGGGGGGGGGGGGGGGGGGGGGGGGGGGGGGGGGGGGGGGGGGGGAGGAGGGCGGGCGGGAGGAGCGCTGGTCTTGCGCGGAGCACTTCCTGGGGCACAGCGAGCTTCCTCCGTGAGCCCAAGGGTCTTCTCATGCCCAGCCCCTGGCAGAGCCCAGACCAGGACACGGCACTCACATGTGCACACTCACACACGCGTGCACACAGGCACACGCACACTCACACACTCACACGRCTCCCCAGCAGAGCCGCCTTCCTCAGTGAACACTGTGCTCCTGAAAGGCCGAGGTCCCTCCCCAGCGGCCCTCATACTGGGGACAGTGTCGATTCTGGCCCCCTGCTGTCAAGAGTGAGGACCTAGTAGGGGGCTTGGCTTTGGGGACCTCAGGCCTGGAGTCCACCTGAGTGACGGAACTTGACCGCGTGGGCAGAGGGCAGGGGGCAGGGGGCAGGGAGACATCACGGGATCCGTCTCTGCAGCGCCGGACGCGACCCTGAAAGGGGAACTGGATGAGCTGATGAGCTGAGCTCCTTACAGTAGAAAGTCCCCCGTAAGACCCCGTCACACAACGGCAGCACAACGGCAGACAGGCAGGAGCGGAAGTCACACTGCGGAAACGCACAGCGGAGAGGGGACACYGGCTCAGAACACACAGAACCCCAACTCCACAGAAAGGACCCGAACCACGGGATTCAAAACGGGCCTAGGACCCTCGCAGGCGTCTCAGGGGAGACACGCCGACGGGGACGCAGCCGTCCACCAGCGGCTCCAAGAGACACGGTCCTTAAAAAATACAGAGCAGGTCACACCAGATACAAGGCCAGGACGTCACCCTCGCCCTCTTATCRGGGCAGGGCTGGAAGCGCCGCTAGCCAGTGGGAGCAGGAGGGGCAGGAAAGGCGAGGACCACCCTCTGGGCACAGGGCCACCTGGGAATCCTCTAGATCTGTTCTTTTTCTAGATGGTCTTGGTACCCTGGGCCCCRGGCACGTCTACATGAATTTTAGGATTAACTTGTCGATTTCTGCAAAGAACCAGCGGGGCTTCTGGTAGGGTRGGGATGCTATTGAATCTGCAGACCAACCTGGGGAGGACGTTCCCTCCGCCCACTGTCTTCCCGTCCAGGAACACGGGTGTCCTTCCAGGTACTGGGCCTTGCTTCACGTCTCTCAGCGGTGTCTTTCAGAGCAGATGCCTGACACTTCTTTTGTAAAGACAGACCACAGACAAGCACTTGAAATAATACTTAACATCATGCCCACYGGGCAAGTCCAAATTAAAACCACAGTGTCAGTGCCTACCTAATAGAGCAGCAGAAATTTTAAAATAATGATAATAAATGCTAAGAATATGGAGAAATTGGATTACACATATATTGCTGGTGGGAATGTAAAATGGTCTAGCCACTACAGAAAATGATTTTACATTTTCTTTAGAAACAGAATGTGCAACTACCATTTAACCCAGAAATAACACTCCTAGGCATTTACCACAGACAAATTAAAACTAGTGTCATACAAAAACCTGCATGACTGCTCACAGGAACTTTATTCCAAAGCACTCTAAACTGGAAATAACCCAGATGCCCTTCTACAGGTAAGGGACTAATAAAACTAGGGGGTACATCCACATCAGGGAATAGTATGCAGCAATAAAAAATGAACAATTGGTACATGCAACCATCTGAGGATGTCGCTTAGTGAAAAAGTCAACCCCCAAGATTACACACTGTGATTCATTTATATACCATGCCCGAAACGATGCAATATTACAAACGACTGGCATATTAATGACTGTCAGGGCTGAGGAGGGCTGGAGCAGGAGGAAAGTGGATTTGACTCTGTATTATTCGGGTTCTCTAGAGGAACAGAATCCACAGAAGTATAATTATAAAAGGGATTTGTTAGGTTGGCTCAGGTGACCAGAAGCTGGATAGTCCACCATGGCTGTCCGCAGGTGGAGAGCTGGAAGAACCCAGTAGCTGCACCATGCAAGAGTTTGAAGCCCTAGGATAAGAGGGATCAATGGTACTACCCCAGTCTGAGACCAAAGTCTTCTGGAGAGTCACTGTCACTGTCTGCTTTGGAAGAGTGACAAAGCAAGAATCTGAAATCCTCAGAGGATCACAGCAGCCACCAAGAACCGGCTCAAGAAGAACCCAGCTTGCTTCTGCGCTTCCCGTTCTTCCAGCTTTTATCCCACCCAAGGCATCATCCTATTGGGTGGTGCTGCCCACGCCTGGGGAGGGTCTCCATTCCAGTTGGCTGTCCCACATGCCAATCCTTCCTAGCCACGCCCTCACAGACACACCCCTGATCCTCTTAATCCACACTGTCTCTTAATCCAATCAGGCCCAAAGGGAAATGGGTCATTTTTTCAGTAATGAGAAATATTCTGTGTCTTAATTGTA